AGTTCTTCCTGATGTTTAGTCGGAATCTCCTTTCTTGAAACTTGAAGCCATTGGTTCAAGCCCTACCCTCCGGCTCGGGGGAAAACATGCTTGTTCACTCTTACATGTGACAGCCCTTGAGATATTTGAAGATGGATATTCTAGGCTAAACATACCCTGCTTCTTCAACTGCTCTTCATAAGGTTTGGTTTCCAGACCTTTTATCGCCTTAGTTGTCCTCCTCTGCACACATTCCATCTTGTCAACATGCGTCTTAAGTTATGGTGCCCAGAATTGGACATAGTATTCCAGGTGTGGTCTGGCCAAGCTAGAACAGAGTGGTACTATTACTATTAAAGTGGTACCTCAGGTTACAGACTCCGCTAACCCAGAAATAGTACCTCGGGTTAAGAACTTTGCTTCAGAATGAGAACAGAAATCGCGCAGCAGGGGCGCAGCGGCAGCGGGAGGCACCATTAGCTAAAGTGGTGCTTCAGGTTAAGAACAGTTTCAGGTTAAGAACGGACCTCGGGAACGAATTAAGTTCTTAACCCGAGGTACCACTGTACTGATCTGGAGACTATACTTCTGTTGATGCAGCCTAGAATAGCATTAGCTTTTTTTGCTGCTGCATCACACTGTTGACTCATGTTAAGCTTATGGTCCACTAAGACCCCTAGATCCTTTTCACATGTACTACTAGTAAATCAGGTGTCCTCCATCTTATATTTGTGCATCTAGTTCTTCCTGCCTAGGTGTAGAACCTTACATTTGTCCCTATTTAAACTCATTTTGTTAGTTTGGGCAGAATTCTCCAATCTGTTAAGGTCCTCTTGAATCCCGATTCTGTCTTTAGTGGCATTAGCTATCCCTCCCACTTTGGTGTCTTCTGCAAATGTGATGAGCATCCCCTCAATTCCTTAATCAAAGTCATTTATAAATATGTTGAACAACAACATCTGAATTACAAACAGATGGAATTTAAAGAAACAAAAGACTCAGAAAATTGCATTTAATCCCTCCATATGTTGCTGGACTACAGCTTCATTCATCCCTGATATTTGGCCAGAATGGCTGGGTTTAAGTATTCCAATACTTAGAAAAACAAACAACTGAAGATTTCAATTCTTATGAACTCAGCACAACTGAAAGCAGCAGTTTACAATCACTTCAGGTATTCTTCCAGATGCATTTTGAAACACATTGCTTTCCGCTAGCATATGCATGCCACAGGTACATTATGACTTGTTTTACTTCTGGAACACCCATTTATAATAAATAAAACACAAACTGAATTTGTGTTAAATTGTTTCTATTTGCACTATGTTCAGTTTACTGGCCTTCCTTCCTCCTGTACAAGCAGAAATATAAAATTACATATTCTGCCCAAGGCACTGAAGCAATGAGAGCTATCCCATGGCCCTGGGAGAACCATTTTAAATTAGTAGGTTTCCTTTCCCTTTAAATCTGGCAGGATAAATATAATTATAAGATCTAATAATCTGCTACTAATATAATATTGGAAATCTTCACAGCTAAAGCATCACTCCTTCCAAACATAACTGGGTTACTTTTCTTAATAATTATGAAAAGGGGACATGGAGAGACTTTTCATAACATTTTGCATGGCAAGTGAATTTCCAAATCTGATAAACCCAAAATAGCAGCCACACACATATCCTATCATACTTTCTTAGAAACTGATTGAATCTGACATGGAACTGCACTTAAGACTTCTGTGTGAATAAGGTTTCCTGTTAAGTATGCACATCACCAAGTAATAGACTGTGCTAGCTCACAGTCAGATTCACATGGCCCAAGATGAGAAGGGTCTGGAATTTTGCAATCAAACATTTAAGAGAGAGCCCCACAAAAATTGAGGGACGAAAAAGGAATAAGCATGAACAAATGTTATAAACACTCAAGACACAATAGCCCCCTGACTTGGGTAGCTGCAGCCAGTTAATACTCAGTTTCAAACTCATCATTGCTAAGGCCCTCTGTTCTTTTCTGTTCAGACTGGCTAAATTTCTACATATTCCAACTTTTCAAGTAAGGTAGCCAAAAATAAGCACTGCATTTTTTAAAAATAAGGAAGGGAAACATAGAGCTTGATAAATGGCAGATGTTCCTTCAGAACAGGATGAGCAGGGTTCCGCAAGACACTATTAGCAATCGTGTCCTGACCCATAGTTAGATGCCCTGGAAGATGCTGGTTTACACAGAATGTATAAAGAACCACTTGAACTACTAGGCACAGTGGCTGTGTTCTACCTCCACTATACCAGTTGCTGAATCACAGGTGGGCAGAGTGCTGCTTAGCTCATGTCCTGCTTGCCGACTTCCCAAGTGTGTCTGATTGGCTACTGTGAAAACAGAATGCTGGATGAGATGAGCCATTGGCCTGATTCAGCAGGCTGTTCTTATTATGGTCTTACCTTCTTATGTTAACCTTTTCTCAGTATGGTTGAGAAGCTCTACCAAGCTTGGTCCTTTTAGACTAGCTCAGGGAGTGCACAGCTTGCATTATACAGATCTTTTTCGACTGCCTAGTACCCAATATTTTGACAAAAGTTAGAGGACACTCTCTCAAGTGTATCGCAACTCACATAACCTGCTAGCAGAAGATCCTGCCCAAAGTCTGAGATGCAACAGGAAACTTACAGAAATTTGGCTCATCTTTATTAAATAATGTGCATGCAAGGCTTGGAATCTACACTGACACTATATAGCTAGAACACTACTTGTCATTTTGCAAGCGACACTTCAAACATCATCTTGACAGTTAAAATATCCTTCTGTCTGCTGTGATTAGTTTCAAGGCCATTTTACTTTATGGTACTTGCAAGGTAATACCTTTATGGTACATTTGCTTCTCTTGAAGTATTTTAATTGGATGGCAAGCTGGCTCCACTGTAGTGACTTTAGCTATCTAAAGCAGTCCAGCAACCTGAACTGTATGTCAAAGATGCTCAGGACTGAATCACTAGTTGCTCCTGCTGATGCCTGGAGACATGACTTGTTCGCAGTGTTTTAATTATGGATGTTTCTGTTTGAATCTTTGTGTAACTGACTTTTTAATCTTGTTAACCAACTTAGAAGCCTCTTGTGCCATTAAGTGGCACACAAACCCATCCTGGAATAAAAGGCAGGCGGTAGTCTCCCCTACCCCCATCTGCCCGAGCGCTTATGTGCTGCTTTCAGACATTTTCAGTACAACTCAGCACACTCGTCATGTGATAAGCAACAAGTATCACTATTTTGTGTGGGATAAATGGAAGTGCAGTTTGACCTTAGGGCTTAGTCGTATTATTAGAGCAAACAATCTGCTATGCTCTTGTACAGCAGCTTCTGTAAACAGACAGGCGGCAAACAAAGGGGGAGCTTTACAGAGTTTAAAATAGAAAATTGCCTTTGCATTAACAGGCTTATGGCAAGGTTACTTATGGCACATTTGCCTTTAGGACTCAGCAGGCGTGCAGTGCAGCATATTGTGTCAAGCCATCTGCTGAACAGGCAGAATCGATCTCAGAGTCTGTGTGTCCTGCTTCGCTTGCAGATTTACCCACTGTGACTAAACACACCCACAGAACTCAAGGTTTTTTTGGGAGGGGGGGAGGAACTCCTCCAAACAGTTGGATTTGACCTTTCCAGGGCTGGGTGGCAGAAACTTAACATTTTCTATTTTCAAGGGAGAAAAGAGATAAGCTCTGAACACATTTCAAGGAAAATGCAGTTTGAAAGCTTTGCTCTTTTCCAAATCTGAGCTTCAAACAAATTTCACATGGTAATTATAATAATTGAGATGTCAAAAGCATTTTATATTTACATGGTGCTGTATAAATACTGACTAATTAAGGTTCACCATGATTTTGCTGGGAGAATAAAAGACTGCATCTTTTTTTGGATCTGAATGAGAAGGTTGAAACAGAGACAACACTAGTTGCACACATGAAACTGGGATTAGAGGTGGGTCCTGAAGGGTTTTCTTTTCTATTTTTTAACACCTCAAGCAAAAAAAAATATAAATTACACTCCTCTGCTCTAGACTGGAATTCTTTTTACAAATTACACCCACATACATCCCATATAAAGAAAAAACACACACATATTGCTTAGAATTTGCCACCTGAGGTAGACTGCTTCACATTACATCGTGGTGAGGTCAACCCTGAATTTGTCACTCCTAGTCCATTTCAGTCTGCTGAAGAAAGCTGGGAAGAAGTTGGCAGCCACACAATGTTCCTGTTCCAAATACTGAGTGACAAGAAATCTGCTTTCTGAGAAACCCTTTGCCAAACGTCTATTACTCAGGAAGAATCATGCTGACTTCTTGTCAGAGTCAAATCTGCCTCAGATGCTCATCTAGCTCTTGCTACATCGCTGCACCCATCTTTGGACTACTGTAATGTGTTCTTCATAGGGATACCTTTTAAGGTGACTCAGAAACTCAACTAATCTAGAATGTGGCTGCTAGACTGCTGGCTGTGAGTGACCGCTGGAACCATATGACACCAGTCCTAAAGGATCTACTCTGGCTCCCAGTACATTTCCGAGCACAATTCAAAGTGTCAGTGCTGTCCTTTAAAGCCCTAAACGGCATTGACCCTGTATACCTGAAGAAGCGTATTCAACCCCATTGTTGAGCCTGGACACTGAGGTCCACCTCTGAGGGCCTTCTGGAGGTTTCCTGCGAGAAGTGAAGTTGCAGGGAACCAGGCAGTGAGGGTCTTCTCAGTAGTGGAGCCTGCACTGTGGAACACCCTCCAGTCAGATGTAAAACAGATAAGCTACTATAAGACACTTAGAAGACATCTGAAGGCACCCTGTATAGGGAAGTTTTAAATGTTTGATGTCTCGTTGTGTTTTTATATTATGCTGGAAGCCACCCAGAGTGGCTGGGGCAACCCAGATATAAATAATAAATGATTGCTATTATTTGTAGGTGCTACAGAATGTGGGGAAACCCAGTCAGGAAGACTCTGCCAGGAATAATGCTAAGGCAGGCTTTCCTAAGGGGAAGGGATGCAGCTCAGCGGTAGAACAGCTGCTTTGCATGCAGAAGGTCCCAGGTTCAGTCCCAGGCACCTCTAGGTAGGGCTGGGAAAGAATCCCGTCTGAAACCCTGGAGTGCCATTACCAGTCAATGTAGACAATGTTAAGCTAGGTGAACCAATGGCTTGATTCAGTGTCAGGAAACATCCAGTGTTCTTAGATTCCTGCTAAGTTTCTGATCCTAAACCTCTGCTGCCTTGTGAGATATCTTCTGGAGAAGAATAGGCTAAGGAGGAAACCCTACACAAATCCGGAGTGGAGTCCCTAAGACAGCTGGTGTCAAATGTATTGCTCTGTTTTCCTTTGGACCACTTCAGCAAGGCTGAGAGGAGGTCTTGTTGTCTGGGGCAGGCAGCCTAGGACTTCCATACATACTGCCCAGGCTTGCACCCCAGGAAGGTCACCCAGGAAAATAGCCTTGGGTGATTTCCATGTTCATGCTGAGCCTCTCTGAACAGCTGACTTGGGACATCATGGTTTCCATGGGGCTAACTCGAGTGGTTATTGGTCCACCACATTCAGCAAGCCATACCCAGGCTTTCATCTTTGTTCCAATAGCAGAGATGGGTGTTCTGATGGGGGGGGGGATGGAAGAGTTGTACAATCCAGTTCGCTACCTTGGAGGTTTTTAAACAGAGGTCAGATGGTCCTCTGTCAGGGATTCATAGAATCATAGAATCATAGAATCATAGAATCAGAGCTGGAAGAGACCACAAGGGCCATCGAGTCCAACCCTCTGCCAAGCAGGAAACACCATCAGAGCACTCCTGACATATGGTTGTCAAGCCTCTGCTTAAAGACCTCCAAAGAAGGAGACTCCACCACACTCCTTGGCAGCAAATTCCACTGTCGAACAGCTCTTACTGTCAGGAAGTTCTTCCTAATGTTTAGGTGGAATCTTCTTTCTTGTAGTTTGGATCCATTGCTCCGTGTCCGCTTCTCTGGAGCAGCACTTTAGCTGAGATTCCTGCATTGCAGACTGTTGGACTAGATGAGCCTTGGGATGCCTCCAACTGTATAGTTCTTTGATTCAGTTCTATGACATACCAGTTTCTGGTGAGCTTTGGACTCACAACAACAACTCACCTCTGCAGATGGTGGTGGGGAATTCAGGTAGTCCTGGAAACAAATGGAATCTGATGGATTCCTGAAAGCTCTAAGGGGTTTTCTAGTGGTTAGAATTGGTGATTCTGCTCAGGTTCTGATCTCATTGTGCAGTGATGAGACACAACAGGCCACTGACAGCCCCATCAACTCAGACTGGTTATATACCCTACTATATATGTTTCACCCCAATGCTTGCGGTTTTACAAGTGCTGCAAAACTGGCCAAAGACTGCAGCATACTCAAGTAACTTGCACTAAGATAAGAGCAACCTGGTTGCCAAGCAACCTTTTTGTTTAGCAGAACGTAATACACAGCAGCAGCTTGTCAACTGGGAAAGTTGTAATCAGGTACAAGGACTGGCTTAATGGCTCGTGAACACTTAAGTCATCATGCAATTTGCTGTGCTTTTCTCCTCAGGAGTTCCCATGGGGAAGAAGCACTTGGTGGAGCTTCTTAGATGAAAAACTTGTAGATGGACCAAATCAGGCTATTGGACTCTCCACCACGTGACCTTTGAGAGTACCTTTCCCACCAAGAGCAGTAAAACCATTCTGAAGGCGAAAGTGAACACCCAAGCTTACAAACATGGATCCATTATATTGGAAAGGGTCACAGCTCAGCGGTAGAGTATTTGCCTTGCAAGATCCCCAGGAAGTGATCTCAAGGAAGGGCTGGGGAAATGCCTACCCGAAAAACCCTGGAGAGCCACTGCCAGTCAATGTAGACAATTCTCAGCTAGATGCATAGCTGTCAACCTTTCCCTTTTCTTGCGAGGAATCCTATTCAGAATAAGGGAATTTCCCTTTTAAAAAGGGAAACATTGACAGCTATGACTAGATGGCCCAATGGTCTGACTTTACTAGAACTGTAATAGAACTCCTGTATGCAAAGTGCTTTACTATCCACAGCCATATGAATAAATCAATTTGTGGAGTGGATGAAAAGGGGAAGCGAACCTGCCTTGCAGTCATAGCTGTTACGGGGTTTGAATTCCATCACTGGAGCTCTGAAACAAACACTCTCCACTGATCCACTTCCATAAGCAAAAACATATGGTTAGTCAAAGGCCTTCATTCAAGAGTGCCTTACTTCAGGATTAGGGGCTTAGAACTAAGGCACTCCTAAGGCACTAGGAGACCTGCAGTAAAGTTTCTGTCGGATAACATTCACCCTAAGAAACCTCAGCCCTGTATACTTGCACGAGATAGCTAGCAGCCTTCCAAATGCTGCTTTTTCAGGATGAGCAAACCCAAAGCACTAACTTCAAAGCCTGAGGCACTGGCAGCTGCTTTAGCTAGAGGTTTCTGTATATCCCTAAATAACCTCACAGATAACAACCATACTTTTGTTGTTGTAAATCTCACCATTATTGTGATCTGTGTATTGAAGAATGCCTTTGAAGTATGGATATTTTAGAAAGAGAGATCTCTTCACTTATAACTATGCTGCCAGTTATTCAAAATATTGTTAAATCCCTGTCTAGACCTCCCATTACCATGTCTTGAGCCTCAGACATGCATAAAATGGATTATGAATTTAAATGAAGTCTAGCAGTACTCCTAGCGGTGGACAAAATAAATATAAAATGCACACTTGATTCCTGCCTTTAGAATACTTCTGTGTGGTTAGTAATCCAAACAACACTGTCAAAGGCCTCTGTAAAAATACCAATAGTGTTTTTTAAGTCTTCCAAGAGCAAATATCTAGAGAGATTGCCATCCCATTTCTATTATTCCACTGTAACGTATAATAAAAGCAACTCACAGGAATAAGAGGATTATCCTTTTAGAGTCTCAGTTTGCGGCTTTATTTATTTATTTATTTATTTATTTTTGAAGCTCACCAACTGTTCTATTCCCTGACTTTGTAATTAACTATATCTGCACACACAAAAAATAAATAATAAAGACTGTCTGCTTATTGTCAAGTAGCTTACAATGTGACTCATGTAACACACATCATTTAACTGTGTGCAAAATATGCAGGATGATGGCTTCACATCTGTTTGTGGTTATTTTGCTACTACTTCTACCCTCCTCCACCCTTCCTGCTTTCAGTTGCATTTTTTAAAAAAACCCAAAACCCTCTATCGTAATTCTGAACGGAATATCTTCCATTAATCTTCTTAAACACACAGTACAGTCCATCCAATACACTTAAGTCGCAGTGATCGTAATAGAGTTTAAGCATGTGCAATTGTTTCTGGACCGCAACAAAACAAGAAAGAGTAGTCAAAAGATGGGGGGGGGGACCTTCCCTGCATCACTACTGAGCAGAATCTCTTTCTTGAACAGGATATTGTAAAGTAATTTATTTACTGCAAAGTGAGAAGCCTTTCAAAATGAAAAGAAGACCTTGTGAATAAATTGGTAAGTTTCCTCAGTGGCGGAGGAAGGGAGTGCGGGGGATGCGGTCCGCCCCGGGTGTCATCCCTGAGGGGGCTGACAAAATGACAAAAATGTGAGTTTTTAAAAAAAATGGGCTCACTTTTAGTTCAGTCAACAAATGTAACAAAATGCGGCTGGCACTGGGCACCACACTGCAGAGGCTGGCACTTACCGTGTGACCTGCAGCGTGCCTGAACCACGCGTCTCTCCTGGGAGTGATGTGGTGGCTTAGGCGCCTTCCGGCTCCACGCTGCCTAAAACGGCAGTGTGGGACTTGTGTCTGCCCTCTGCCTCTCCCTCAGCTGCCCTACAGCTGAAGGGGAGGCTCCACGCAGCGTGCCCTGCCCCCATGGGCAGCTCACCCCACCCTGGCTGCAGGACGCGCACGCTGCACCCGGCACCCGAGCGGCTAGCTACGCCGCTGTTTCCTTTCATCAAATCATAGAAACACGAGAACTTGTCTTATGCCAAGTCAGAAGATTAGTCCATCTAGCTGTGTACTGTGTGCACTAACTGGTAGTGTGATGGCCTGGGATTCGGATGCTGAACCTGAAGAATCCCAGCCTGCACAGGATGATTCCCCGCCTCCAGAACCAGCTGAGCTGGGGCTGGGGCATAAGCCTGAAGGGTCCTCATCTGTGCTGGGTCCTCAGGTGCAGGCACCAGCTGAGTCTGCTCGGGCTCCTGAGGGGGTGGAGGACCCATTGCCTGCAGGTGCTCCACTCTCAGCCCCGGCAGAGGAAGCTGAGGTTGCCTCTGGGTCCGGTAACCCTCCAGCCTCTCCTGAGCTGCAGAGGCTCAGGGCAGAGAGGCGGAGGGAACTAAGTTCCCGCAGGAGGAGTGCTCACCTCCAGGCCAGGAGAGGCGAGTCACCTGAGGATCGGGGCTGCCCTATGCCTTGGGGCAGATAAAAGCCAGCCAGCCCCAGTCCCAAGTTGCAGGAGCAACTTCATTGGTTGACAGTTCCTGCCTGAACCCTGTCCTGCTGGAGCTCCTGACCTCACCCAACTACCTGCCCTGCATCCAGCTTCAACTTTTACGGACTACCTCCATACTACACCTTTGACCTTGGACTGGACTCGGACCTCGCCTCTCGGTTAGCCCACGGGACCAGCACAGGTAGTGATTTGCCAGGGTTCATGAAAAGAGTCCTTTTCAGCCCAGGAATTGAACTTGGAGCATTCTGCATGCAAAGGAGATGCTATGGCCCTCGCAAGTCAGCAGTGCGTCATGTTAGATTGTAAGTCACCTTTGAAGCACAAGAGATATTCCAAAGCAGCTCATGCAGCACATAAGGGAGCAGCTGTTCCATGGGTAAAAAAAACAACAAGCAAATAAATGGTGCAAGTTCAGCTGAGTTCATGAACGCTCCTACATGTACCTGAATTTATCCTCTGGATCACTTATTTGCATCACGAAACTTACCGTCTTTCCAATTTGGCCAAATTAATCAGCTGAAATTTGTACTTGAATTACACTGGACAAAACGGGTTTTCATGAAGCTAATCATGTTTCTCAGAGGAAAGGAAGGTTCACATTTGTTT